CTCCCCCCTGAGCTGTAGTCATTGTAAACGGTCCCTAAGTAAGTCTTACCTCATTCAGTGCTACTTTCTCCACAGACATAGACCGTCGTCTTGAGTGCAATAATTATTAGCTCTTCGCCGTTGACGCTAGGGGGAAGAATTATTTTCCCAGTGTTCCTGCTGGGATATTGTTTCCCTCTCCTCAGCTCTAGACTGGGCCTATCAGTATCAAGCAAGGTCAAAGAAACCTCTTAAATGACCAAATGTTGTGTTCATGTTGAAGTAAAACACCAATTAATTGCAGTCATTCACAAACTTTGATTTAGATAATTTGACCGGCGTCTGTGGTGTAGCGGTTAGGTGCTTCGCCGTCGCATGCAGGAGACGCAGAGTTCCGTTCCCGAGCACGGAGATTTTGTTTTCTAGTGCGACATGTATCATGTTGGTTTTTCTACTGGGGTGACATAGCCTATCTCTTTCAGCCCACCTTGACCCTAACAGGCAGTGTCAAAGTCCACCTCCTAAATTATCTCAATCGTGCCTGTGTGTGTGGGGAGGGTGGGAGGAGGGGGGGGGGCACCAACATTAGAAAAATAAAAGAATACATGTATGAGATTAACGTGAATTGTCTGCTCGAGAAAAAAAAAAAACAACTAAACATTGGAGCGATCAAACTGAGACTTTCAGGGGGGAAAAAACAGTTGTGTGTACAAAAATGAACCACCTTTAGAAACACGTAGAGATGGAACTGATTACAAGCCGGAAGAGTAAAGGGGAACAGGATCTTCTGCTGTTTGTATGGTGGGTAAAGAGACGGTCGGCGGGAGGAGAGGATTGAAGAATGTTATCTCATCACACGCACCCAGGCGCACTCCAAGTGCGTGTTTGTGTGAAAACGCATTAGCACTTTGTCTTGTTTGTGTGTAAACGCATTAGATTCTAGCACACTGCCCTGTTTGTGAGTGAGTGTGTGTTTGTGTGCGTGTGTGTGTGTGTGTGTGTGTGTGTGTGTGTGTGTGTGTTAAAGCATTAACTAGCACGTTGTATGTGTGTGTGTGTGTATGTGTTTGCTTATGTG